ACTTATTTAAAATATAAATGAATAAAGTAACTTAACTTTTTTGATTGAGACAGAAGGGTCCTTCACAAAATTATAAGACAGATAATAAAAATATTATTGCAAAGAATTTTTTTCTGTAGATATATCCCTGTTTTAACAGTAATATAAACCTATTGGAAAATATTAATATTACCTGTTATTTTGCACCAAGGTATCTATATGAAATTAATTACGTACTTTTCTTTAATTCTGTCTTGTTCTCTACAAATCTATTGCTTCCTTGATACTTGATACCTATTTATTGCTAAATATAATATCCATTGGGAATTATTTACAGCCTCTTTCTTCCATTATCAATTATGAAATTCCTAGCTCAAATAATTTTCATTTATTTATCAATTATTGGGCGATTCCAAGTAAAATAATAATTAAAGAAATTGTTAAGTACCTAAGCGTTTTAATAGATAAATTAACGCATTAGCTGTAAGAAAAAAAAGCACTACAAAAAAGCTTGGATTCTTCAAATTTTTTAAAAGAAATTAATAAGAATGTAAGAATGGAAACATGAGATAGTATAAAGGTTTTGCAAAAATTAAGATTAATTAAAGTCAATGATAATGCAGGCAAAAATGTTTAGGATTTCAGACTTGTTCCTGCAAAACAGTGTACCTATAGTTGGGTATCTAAAAATACTTTTCAACAATTTCAATGAATTGCGAAAAGCATTACGAAACATATTTACTGTTTTAACTCACCTTTCCGTTGGAATATCTAGAGGCAGAAACAGACGATCGGCGGGAAATCATTTTTCACCCAAAAAAAAACACTTTCCAATAAATATTCTTTCTATTCCGCCCACATTTCCAATATATTTAAACGATTTACTTATTAATTAAGTAGGTAGTTATGTATCAGGTAGTAACGTGTTTTTATTGTCCGTCGCACACAGTTATTGTACTTCCCGTTTCGTATCTATAGTTAAACAACAACGACAATAATATTAATTAAACCGCATTATCCTGTCAAAAAATCTACAACAACATTACCACTCTGCTTTATTAGTTAGTTGATATAGTTATATTTTTAGTTGTGTGCAGTTGTCGATCGCTCGTCAAAACGTGAACTGTTATACGGCCTCTAAGTCCTTATTATCGTAACAGACATGCAACAATCCCTTTCGATATTGAGTTAGTTTTAGAAGAGAACAGGGAAAAACACCCGGTACAGTAATAGTATCTGAAAATCGGCTAGAGCGCGACCTTCTAGTGTGGGAGCTGCCAGGATAACGACTAGCACTTCCAAAAGCTCAGGTCCTATTGTTAATACGAATACCTAGCCATTGTTTATACCGATCGTAGTTTGACGCAGAAGAAGGAGAAGGAGATAAAACAAAGAAGAAGAGGATAGGAGAGTGTATGTGTGTGTGTGAGAAAGAGAGAGAGAGAGAGAGAGAGACGGAGCTGCGTGCACGCGATACCACGACGGCGGTATGGTGGTGATTCTTCGCGAATAAACGTATACTAGGTATATAGGCCGGACTGCACCGCGAGTGTCGAACAAGTAAGCGAACGCGCGACGCCCGCCGCCTGGACACCCTCCGACGCTATCGATTCCGTCAGAGCCGGTGGCGACTGCGGGCACCGCTACGCGCACCCTCTCTATCGCTCCCGCTATCGCGCGTCGTTGGCGCTCTTCATCATCGACACCATTCATTGAAACAGGTGCGATCAAATGCCTGCCAAGGATGATCTGTTGTTTTTCTTTAAACATGTATTTTACTAGTCAGTATATTAACCTATTTTACTCATTATCTAAATATATATGTATTAAGCGATGTCAGTATATAAATCGAAGAAGTCCTAGTATTTAAATGCAAGTAGTCTAACTAACCTAACGTATACTAATCTAACCAGCAAGTAATTAATGTACTAACTAATTAATTTTTGTACCTACTACCTCTTTTTATCAGAGATGCGATTTATTTGGAATATGTGCTTGCATTAAAAATGCAAATACAAAATAAAAGATACTTATTTTTATCTTGCATTTAAATACTTTTTTGAATAAAAAGCATTTTGTATTTTATTTGAAATGCTTTTCCAAACGTATTTTCTTTTTGTAAAATGCAAAATACATTTTTGCCGTTATAAATTTTGCTAGTATCACCGATCAAACATTATATAAAATGATGAATGAAAATTGCTCACATTGGCCATTGAAGGTATTAGAAGCTTAAAAAGTGGACAAAGAGACATCCCATGAATGCCTTTTAGTTCTTTAACTGAAAAAAGCCCAAAAAATACATAAAATATTGGATCGATATTGTTTTCCGGGTCCGATATCATGGTTCATGGAATTTTGAAGTTCCAAATTGATATCAGCATCTGCCAAATAACCACTTATCGTATCTTTAAGTAAGAAACTACAAAATTCTATGAATTACGACAAAACAGCCCGCAAAACAATATCGAATTGATATACGCCAGCTGTGTAAAACTGAAAACTACAAGAAATTGTAGTGTACTAATAAATCCAAAATTCTTAGAAAACGATTCGAAAAACTTCACTTATTAGATGAACCCAAAGCTAAAAAAAAACTGTGGATTCCATTTCTTTCTCGTATTACAATGTATAAAAGATCGGAAACAAAATGGTACATATTTTAATATAAAATGATTAATGGTGATTTTACATCAATAAAATTATTTGCAACCCTATTTTGGCTCTGATCTTTCACCCTAAACAAACTATTTTGGCATCATTGTCTTTTTTCCAATTAAAACGAACGACAAAAGCAAATACGAAGAATTATTTGTTACTGAACTTAAGAAACAATAACATAAAGATAGAAAAACTATATCTCAAAAACTTCAAACAGAAAAACATGAATCATACTCAATGTAGGTATGCACATTTATATGCAACCAACTATACATCTGTATATTGATATTTAGACCTACCCATTTTTTCCCCAATTGTTTTCTTCCTGGTCGAATACGTCAAAATTGGCTATTTTTAAGTAGGCGTGGCGTAATCAGACAAATAAACCTACACTAAAACATTATTATATATAGATGTATGTCTTGTTGTTAATTGTGGGTATTTATTACGTATTAAATTTCAGGGATTTTGAAAAGGCTAGTAGTACATCATAAAAAAAATGCTGACAAGGATTGTGTAATTTGTATGTTCATTAAATATTTTGCCTTACCTGTATATCTATTCTCTTCTATCTGATACGTTCAAAATCCTATTGTCTTTATTACATATCTACCTAAAAAGCTAATTGTTCGTGGACAACCGCATTCGTGCTCCGGCTGCTACAAAATGTAATTAAAACTCTCCAACTAGCAGCTGCTTTGGATTTTAACAAATGACAGAACATGCAAGATTAGCTGCCCCGGGGAAAAGGCACAGATATAAAGAACACAATGATCATACCAGCACATTAGCACACACACATACGTTCGTGGGTATACAGTACAGGCGAATTGCAAACCGAACATACACATTCCATCTTTTCATATAAACTTTAAAGAAATATAAGTCCAATAGTTCCAATTCAAAGCCTTTGGTTGATGCTGTGGCGATTTGATATTTTTTAAGAAAATAATTAATTTTTTAGAGTGAAGTATTACGTGTGTGGTTGTATATATTTTTTGGTATGTCTGTGAAAACTTTATTACTTGTATTTGTGTGTTTGGAATTTCTGTATTGTTGTATTTTTATTGTGTAAATATTCTTTTTTTGTAATTCTATTTCTATACTTACTCTATTCTATACGTCTGCTCTATACCTATTCTTCAGCTAAACGACTATTTAATTGCCTACATACTTTCCTATCATCCCTTTTAACAATTCAACTCTGTATACTAACTGCATGACGTCTATAATCCTTACTTCTTTTCCTAATTGCAGTTTTATGGTCAGTTTCTTCGGTGATTTGGGTTCAAACTTAACTTCTGAGTATTTCTTCTAAACTACATTTCCAGATTTTACTAGTATCTTATTATTAGTTCCCTACTTTAATTAACTTATTTCTAACTCCTCCTTATCACCCTTCTTACAATCTCTGTTCAAAAACTAAAATCAATTCTGACTTATTGTTCCTAATTTCAACTTCACCATTCTACCTTCTTAATTCTAGTCTTCATTTTTCGTTCTTGTTTTATTAAAGTTTGTTATCGTTATTCCGCATTCTATTATTTACCACCTCAACATCAAAACACACAACGAGACCAAAATGCTGATACACTCTTCAAAATATTTTCAGAATTCGAGTGGTTTAGGACAGTGGACATTTTGAGAAAGACGTGATTGAAAAAAGGGAAAATGACGACAAGGAAATCTGCATGCAAGATACTCGTGAAAGCTCGTCCCTCAGAGCTGTTTAATGACCAATGAGTATAGAATGCCGACATCTTCAATTTGATTTAGGTATGTTATTAAGTATTGGTATAGAATATGATATTTTTAAACACGTAGGTCTCTACATAAGTTTTGTCTTACTTTTTTTATCAGCATAAGGTCGTCAGTCCTAAGACTGGTTGGACACGCACCTCTATTCCTTCCTATCCTGAGCTAATCTTCGCATTTCCCTAAAACTAGAACAGACCACATCTTTGACTATTTGCGAACAGTAATCTAATATAAGCCTACCTCTACTCCTCTTAACTCCTGTTTCTGCCTCTAGTATGTCTCTGACTAAACCTTCATACCTGAGAACCTATATCGCCTATTTCTTATTGACTTCCGTAGAGTCCTCTGTTCTCCTATTCTTTCTAATACCTCTTCATTTCTAACCTTCTCTATCCACTATATCCTCATCCTTCGCCTGTAACACCATATTTCGAACACTTCCAAACTTTTTTTTTCGCCGTGTCCTGTCTATGTTTCGCACCCGTACAGCTCCGCGCTACAAGCATACACCTTTAACAATCTTTTTCGAATTTCTAAATTAGCCGTTCAGAAGCATAAAAATGACTTCATTATATTGAAGGCGACTCGACCCTGCGCTATCATCTGCTTTATATTCCTGTTACTCCTTCCGTCCTGACTTATCTCACTTCCTAGATACCTAAAATCGTCCACTTCTTCTAATTTTTCGTCTCCTGTCTTTATATTCGCTATTTCCCTGCTTTTTCTTCCCTTACATACCAGTATTTTAGTATTACTTTTATTTATTTTCATACAGTACTGTTTTGTCAGTACCGTTTCCATTTAATTTAAAGCTATCTCTAACTCCTCCTTGCTAGATGCTAATACTGCTACACGTCATCTACAAATCTAAGCATACTAATCTTTTGCCTCTGTACATCTATCCCTGCAATTGTACTGTCTTTAATGATGTTAATCCCGTCTTCGATGTATAGATTAAAAAGTAGTGGTGACAGTGTGCATCCCTATCTGACTTCCTTCCTAATACTTACTTCTCTACATTGCAGCTCCAGCTCTGTAACTGCCTGTTGCTCTTTATACAAACTAAGTATCACTCAGTCCCATTTAACATTGTCAAAAGCTTTTTCTAAATCTACAAATCCTTACTTTTTTATTATTGTTATTTTTTGTTTTTGAAACACTACCACATATCTCTTCAAATGTTCCTACAAGCTCTTCATTATTAGAAAACTTGTTTCCTTTAATAGTTTTTTCACATAAAGAAAAAGCGAAAAAACAGATGACGCTAAGTAAGGACTGTATGAATGATATAATTTCACTCCAACTTCACGCAAACAGTCCATAGTTTTGCCAGCCCGATATGAGGAAGCGTTATCCTTAAACAAAATCCAAGTATTGAGTCTTGAGTTTGATCGCTTGTTTTGCACCGTTTCTAAAACTCGAAATAAACAATCTTCCATTTAACAATTTGCAGTAACAATCTTCTGTTTATCAAGTATGACAGTAGATAATATTTCGCGTTTTGAGAGAAGTACCACCACCATTCTTTTTTGACTGATCCAGACATTTTAACCGACCTCAGCGTATCTTGAAATACCCACCCTTTCCTCTGGGATTTAGTTGGGACATCAAAATAATAAAATACATGTAACGATTGAATTGACGTACTTAGATCGGACGCCACCAAATTCTTTTAACATTTCATGGCATCAATTCATAGTTGTTCCCGTAATTAGTCAGTCATCGAATACGACAAACAGAGCGAACAAAGTTCCCTAACTTTTAAACCGTCCTGAAGAAACTGATGAACAGTCGATGCACTTAAATTAAGGATTTCCAAGATCATGTTTCTATGGTCCTTAAAGAAGGACACGTTTGTCCTAATGCACCACTCATTTCTTTAAAAAAAATTGTTGCTTAAAATTATATAATATCATTTATCATGAACATCACGACGAGTAAATTCAGTCATGTTTAATTTTCAAAAAATCGAAATAAATTTGTAGAGCTACTTTACGGTAGTTTGTTAATCTACCCTCGTCTAGAAAATATTTTATATCTATTTTGTGAAAGACAAAAGTTATGTATTGACCTACATACCTACAACATATTTTAATTTTAATTAAAATTGTAATATTGG